TGTTATTTTATAAAATAAGGAGTGAACTGAAATCTACTTGTTTGTTATACTTACATTTTCATTCTTTTTAACTTCTGGCGATGGGTCTGCTGGCATTGGTGCTCCTGAGACAGACAAATAATATTTATTATTATGTATAATTGAATGGCAGGTTGGATAAATCATCGTCATGACTTTCAGAACTTATTAATATTCATTGCAGACAGTAAATTGAGTACTTGTCAATGTTCAATACTTTTTTCGAACTGTTAAAATAACAGTTTTCTATGAATTTTGTACGAGATTGTATACTGTGAAGTCGCGTTTTTTTAGCGTCAAACCGCATACCTATTTCTTCAAAATTTACTGGAAATTTACTAAAATTAAGTTGGTCATAAAATCAATTAATGAAAGTGTGATTATATTTTAATATTTCATTGTATTGAACAGTCGAAATTATTTAGTTTTGATTAAGGAAAGTACCTAATTGGCGTATATAATGCCCCATATATTAAGTACGCGCGTACGGTGAAATACGTCTCCGGTAAAAATTTTGCAATTTTTATATTAGCAAGTTATAATTTCACTAGCGACCCGCCCCGGCTTCGCACGGGTGCAATATGCATGTATTATACATACAAACCTTCCTTAAGAATCACTCTATCTATTAAAAAAAACCGCATCAAAATCCGTTGCGTAGTTTTAAAGATCTAAGCATACATACGGACATACAGCGAAAGCGACTTTGTTTTATACTATGTATTGAAGTTGAATTCATACCTGGCGGCAAGGCTAGAGGCTGCCCGTTGTTTGTGTTCAGCGGCACCGAGTTGTAACACTCCGGGTTGACGTGTGCAATCGTGATGTGGGTGTTACGCTCCAGTGTTGCTGTAACGAGTAAACATCATTGTAAGCTATATGCAATAAAATCATCATCATCAACAGCTTATGAGATTGCACTACTGAACTATGAGCCTCTATAAGAGAAAACACAAGAAAGATCATACATAACATCACGGTTTTTATCCCCGAAGGGGCAGGCAGAGGTGCACATTACGGCACTTAATGCCACTATACAAAGTAACACCCACTTTTCACTATTTATGTTACGAGTCCCATGTAATAGGGGGTGCACCTATTGCCATATTTCCAGACTACGTGCTACTACTGAGATTTTTTTTAAAACCCAGTAACATTTTGCCCGACCCGGGAATCGAACCCGAGACCCCTTGCCCGGCAGTCGCACTTACGACTTGCGACGAAAAAGAAAGAAAAACCCGTTCATTACGCCAGAGAGGTGGAACGATCTCCATGTTTGGTTGGCAGGTTGCAGATGGCTGTCCAAAAGGACGAAGTCTTATCAGAGCGCTGCCGCCTGGTCTCTATTAAAGATTGGGTCCTGCAATCGGCTCTTAGTACCCGAAAAAACATTAGGAATTAAAAAAAACATACATTCAAATACGTGGCATTGATAATATAAAACCATTAATTCACCAAACAATCTGATTATGGCTGGAACGGCTGATGGCAGACCACAGATGATGATAAAAAAATCAAAAGCAAATGAATTTTTATCTATGTGTGTAGTGAGACTAAGAACATTTTACTATCCACATGTACTAATGTTAAGGTTTTGACTGTCAATATAAAACTGTTGAAGGCAGACCCTCCGCTAACGTCAGTCACCAGCGACCCCCATGGCGTTTAATGTGTTAATTACGAGTCATTGACCCATTTCGTGCTGTACATAACGTAAATTGTACAGTTATTATAAACAAAAGTATATTACCATACATTATCTACGTCATTATCTACGTCGAATATTACAATGTTTTGTGAAAACAAATATAACAAAGTCAAACTCAATACTTTCATCGAAACGAATTTTGTACGAAATACCATCCTATGACGTCATCATATTTTCGGGTCAAATAGCACACTTATATATAAAAAAAAAAATGTTAGAATAAATCGAATATTAAACTGTCAAACACCAAGCGGTCACTGGTGACCGCAACCTATTGTTCTATAATTGTGTCTATAATGACGGTACTCGACGAGTTAAGTATATCGGCAAATCAATGAATGAAATCCAATTAAATATTGTAAAATAGTTTTTTAACGGACTGAAAAATGAAAATAATTTATTTTTTACCAAGGAAAATACCCAACTATAGCTACTGTCAACGCCATCTAGTATCCCTTATGTTGAACAACTACTACTACTTACATTAGAATGAACGGACCGGATGAACGGCTGAGTGATGTTCAAATATATTTAAATAAAAAGTTCAGTTGATTGCAAACCAGCATAGCGTTTTATTATGTTCTATATTTACGTGCTAGAAAACTGTACAGTCATTATTAAGTGAACTTACTCCTTTCAATTTTTTTTATAGGATTTGTTATCTTAAATTACTCTTGAAACCAATCTCAATGCAATTTCAATCCAATAATTATTCAATGCCAAAACTGTACAACCCCTATCGTAGCTGTTACAATATTCAGAGTACGGAATATAAAGCCAAACTCAATACCATTTAGTTCATTCAATATCCACGCATGTGCTAGCAATGGGTGCTAGTATTGCAACTCAAGAGTACACGAAGTTTCACAATATCAATGTCGATCGATCGGAATGGGATTCAAGAGCATACTCTTGAATCCCATTCCGATTCCCAGGACGGTAAAGTTGAAAATATAGTAAAGAAAGATAGGAAAGAGTAGATTAAACTGCTGGCAACTATCCCAAGTAGTGTTAAAGCGTTAAACATTTGCATACAAACGACTTGACCGATTTTAATTAAAATCGTGCATGAATATAATTTTAAAAATATGATATACTGACTGATTAGATGTCGGATCTTGCTTTCAATAAGTCCACACCACTGTAGCTGGTCATCTGGACTGGCCGAGGAAGCCAGGAGCACTATAAAATGCTTGTACCGCGAGAAAAAGTTGGGGGCCTCAAACAAACGCTCCCATCCACATTTGCCGAGCATTATTTCATCAGTTATGGCTAGACCTGAGGACAATATTTAATATTAATTAAAATGTACAGAATGACTAGTATAATGGAATACTTCTGCGTGAGAGAGACATATTTCGCCACCACTCACGGGCTGGTTCATAGGGCTGAAGCATCAGCTTGGGCCACATAGGCACCCCTTACTGGCTGTCCCAGTAACGCGACAGTTTCTTTCTTCTTTCTTTCTTTTTTTCTACTTTTTATATAAGATACCTACCACATAAGTGTAAAATAGTAAATAAGTAACATTTTTATTGTTTAACTGTATAATGTTTTGGCTTGTGCTGTAAAATTATACATGTGCTTATAAATAAATTAATAAATAGGGAGTTAAATAATGTGAAACAAAGTGTATGTTTAGCCGAATAAGTATATGTTGCCCCATACTAGGAGTTTCTCCTGTGTCGTGGGTGCGTTTATAAACATACAAGTTCACATACACATGACACGCAGACCCAGACCAACGATCAGTGGATCACACAAAGAGTTGTTCCGTACGGGAATCGAACCAGAACCGGCAGCCATTTGCCCTGCTACCGCACCAACCATGCAGTCAATGTCGTCGTATGAGGCCTAATCCCCCATTCCTCTAAAGGCTGGCAACGCACTTGTAATTCCTCTGGTGTTGCGGGTGTCCATGGGCGGCTTACAAATTAATATCAGAACAACATATCTGCTCGTGTACCTTAAAAAACAACTTACTAGACGATATCACCGGGGTTTTCTTCTGGGAAATTTTTATTACACCCAAGTTACTCTTAAAATCTTACCAATTCTAAACTCCTCCATAATAACAGTCCTGGTGGAAGCACATACGTTGAAAGTGGAATTCTGCTGCGGGTACGCTGGTGTGATGATAGGCATAAGGTGGAAGCGGTCGGAAATGTTTACCTGGAAATAAATACGTACAATTAAAAAAAGGTAATTGACCTTTTTACCGTAATATTTAGTTTTCTGTTTAAGTACATATTTCCGCAAATTTAGTAATGAGTTAATGACTGACTGACTGGCACTATTTTATATAAAAGATAAATTAATTTGACCTAGCTAGTTGTTTGGTTTTAACAGTGTGTTTACGAGACAGAAGCAATGACTATAAAATACTAATTCACCCAGGGCCGTCTTAGACTATGCTGAGGGCCTTGGGCACAATATTTCGGGCCCCTTTTGGAATGCTTTTTGGTTTTTGTTTTTTACCGTTGCCACACACTATGATTTTCTCCTGTTCCGTGGGCGCATTTACAAACACAAAACAACACAAGCACTTTTTTTTTTAAGGGGGAAAATCATCGAATGACTGCTCCCGCCTGGGTGAGGCGGGAGGGAGTGTCAGACTCTTACTGACTAAAAACCACCCCGTTCTTTCTCCTGCACGTAGAGTCGGAGCCCCGGTTACCCGTTAGGTTCTCCGCGACTCCGAATCGGCATCGGCCGTATTGGGCCCCATCTGTAGTGGTCTGATGGCTCTTTGAGGCGCGCGCGGAACGCGACGCGCCGTACGCTCGGGTCTGTTTCTGGTCGGACGGGGAGCCACCCATGCTCGCCGTCCGCAGGCCCGCGCTTACGGTGGCCGGAGATCGTCCCGCGATCCCCGACGCCCGGTGTGTCCTTCGCGATGGCTGGGTTGCGAGGAGGCAGCGCTTCGCTGCCTCACGCGTCCCGCCTCCTCCTTAGCTAGCATGACTGCTTCGCAAAAGGAGGAGACGGCATCCCAATCCCCCTCGCTCCGCATTATGGCCTGCACTAGGCCCGGACGCGAGAGGTCGCCATCGCCGATCACTTCCCTGAGGGCACGGCGGTGCTCAGCCCACGCAGGGCATTCTCCCACTGTGTGTTCCACCGTGTCCTCAGGGCGGTCCTCGCAGTGATGACACAGGTACCTCCCGAAACTCCCATGTCCGGTGAGAACCTGCGTCAGGCGGTAGGTGAGGAGGCCGTAGCGTCTCTCAAGCCACTCCTCAAAGAGGGGACTTAGCGCTGCAATGGCAGCGAGCCCAAACACAAGCACTAGATTTGCTCCGTGTGGGAATCGAACCTACAAGTTGCGCAACGTGTAGCGGGTGTGTGTCCGTCATAAAAATTGTCGGTCCTTCGGGGCCCCTGAGGATGATGGGAGTCCTAGGAACGGACCCCGAGTACCCCTATGGTAGACGGTACTGAATGCAGCATATACATGAAACTCAATAGGAATTGAATACTCACTCTAGGATCCCACACGGGGAACCCAAGGTTGACGGAATCAGGTTGCTTCAGGAGAACTGGTTGTGGCCACTTCCACTGGCTGAACACCAGGAAGAACTTGTGCACCAATGTCGCAGGCAGTGCGTTGGGGTACAACTGACAGGTCCTGGCTACCAACATGGCCCATGACACGCCGCCCAGGTATCCTAGAGTGTTTGAATATATGCCGTGACCTGTCGAACAATCATTTGAATATTATCGAAATTGTCTCTTGTAGTCTTGTTGTAATCTGCCGAGGTCTCGGATGGGCATGGATCGTCATGTAGGTGCAGATACCGCCTCGCCCAAGAGGAAATCGTTTGATGATTTTCTAACTAGAAAAAAAGATCAAGAAAGTGAAGTCTAAATCTGGTAACTGATTGATAAATCTGACACTGAAAACTCCCAAGATGCAATAATGCTTCAAGGGGTTTTGAGTGATGTTAGTTCCTGCTCCAAGGGAGAACCAAATCTCATCATTAGTTGCACTTACGACTACATTTTGAAGACTGCTGTAAAGTCAAAGACAACGCATTTATTTCAATTGATCCTTAATTAGGCAATTTGAAACGTCAAAAATTAAATTGTCTGCCAGTGTAGCTAGACGTTCGTTCCAAAGTGTAGTTTCGAATGGAGAAGAACAAGTAAAAAACTCCATCATTACTCTATTATAAAAATGTTTTTATAATAACTATTATGAGACATACTAAATTAACTAAAATCGCGGATTACTCACGTGAATAAACTGAGAAAAGCTCTTCTACTTTCTACGCCAACGCCAGCCAGTGAGCTGCGCGACGTCGCCGCGACCGCGCACGCTGCTCATGAGGAAGAACCCCTCTGTGGTTCGAAACTAGTTGACCTTTGCTCAGTATATTCACGTGAGTAACCCGCGATTTTAGTTTATATTATAAAAATGTTTTACTGTCTCGTTGATACACTAATTCTTTAAATCTTTGTATTATATTTAGATACATACGTTTAGCCCACAGCTTGATGGCGCGTAGAGTAAGCCTGAAGTTGTTTATATTGGGTACGAGGCGGAGAATCTCGTCGGTTACTCTGCATCCGTTTAGCGAACGCACACATTTCTGATCTAAGTTTTTCAAGAGCATATCATCGCGAAGATCGAAGGAATCTGTTGAAAAACATACCAATATTCATTACACAAACATAGTTCTATGTTGAGTCTACACAGTAACTAGGTACTATGTAGGTCAAAGGGTTACTTTTTTTTTTTTTTTTTATAATATTAAAGATTATTTCTCCACGGACTCTAGGTCCGTGCCCTTGTCATACAGTTTTTTAATTATAATACACTAGCGACCCGCCCCGGCTTCGCACGGGTGCAATATGTATATACATACAAACCTTCCTTAAGAATCATTCTATCTATTAAAAAAAACCGCATCAAAATCCGTTGCGTAGTTTTAAAGATCTAAGCATACATACGGACATACAGCGAAAGCGACTTTGTTTTATACTATGTATTGATTTACAATTAACTACATCTATAATTATTACCAAAAGTATAGATTACATAATAATTAGGCACTATTTATTTATTTCTATTTCAAAGGCTTTATGAAACCAGCCCACCAACACGATGGGAGAGCCGACCTGACCCAGCAGAAGGCACCCGTTCACGAGTATGACGTGTGTGTCAGCAATTGGTCCGGTCAACCTTTTTATTGGGAACGGAACAACCCAACACACAGCGCCACCGACTGTAGGACATTTATGTGTGCATGACGCCTCAACCCTTGCCACATGGGCCGATTCCAATAAAGCGTACAATAGTCCAAAATTCAATTGGTCATATTCTATTTCTACATGTTTCTGCACACACATTTCCTCATGTTGCATTCGTTCCATCACAAGCAACACTCCCCGCCCAAGAGAGCACCCACGACTGCCGCGTCCCTGTGTTTGATGGCCATTTTCAGGTTGTAGTCCTTAATACCTTGCTCACCCTCATCAGCCGCCTTCCTGATTAGTTTGCTTATCGCGTCTTCACTGTTGTCTGTGTAATAGATGCAACCATGCGTGTGACGCGATATTGCTACTACCGCGTGTGGTACGCTGTCATGTATTTGATGTTTCTTTGTTGCTGTGTTGACAACAATCACATTCGCACACGAAAGTCCCTGTGCCTCGTGTATCGTGAGCACGCGTGATCCCACGGTCGACCCGTATCCCTGGTTCTTAAGGGATTCCTTCTCTGCCTGAGTGTGTACCAGGTATAAAGTGTCGGGGAGTGACTTTGGAATCATCGCCCCCGAGAACCTTTTTATCTCGAGGGATCTCACGAACGACCTGGACGAATATATGCCACTGTAAACTGTGCTGAGGGCATACGCCACATCCATTGGATTTCTGTGGGTACACATCAATTCCTGGCTTATGGGCGTGATATATGTAGGGCGGCTGTAGAGTAGAGGGAAGAGGTTATCACGATCTATAAACGGAAGCTGATTTATGTCACCAATTAGAAGGACTTCCTTGGCTCGAGTTATTCGGGCGGCCATCACAACGGCTCCAAAGTGGTTCATGAGAGCCTCATCTACCATTAGGCGATGGCAGCTCTCTCGCTCCCCCAAGCCGTTTACTAGGATGGACGCCATTGTTCGAACCCTAGATTTGACGAGTCCTCCGATTCGGCAGGATAGTTTGCCTCCAAAGGGTTACTTTAGACATAACATTATCTGACTAATTTAATTGGATATTCTATCTAAAATCTTACAGTTTTAAAATTAACTTATAACAATATGAACTGTTTAAAGTTTAGATCTGGTTTTCCCCTTTATAACTCGACTATGTTTATTTTTCATTGACATTAAGATAAGACGGGAATCAATGTTTATTAATGTTAGTAGCGCTATCGATTAGTAGAATTATTGTGCAATAGACATATCAAAGCATCGCGCGTTTTGTTTCTGGAAGATGTAGACTCATAATAAAAAGTAACATAATAAAAAAATATACAGACGAAATTGATAACCTCCATTTTGGGAAGTCGGTTAAAATAGTGTAAGTATGAAAAAAAGGTTGCAATTTTAAGTAATTCTTACAAGTTTGTTTGATGGAGTAATAAAATCATTAAAATATGAAGAAATGGGAGTTAGTAATGTGACGTCATGTCTAACGTTTTATTTTTCTCACCAGATGGCACTAGTGTGATCTTCTATTCTTTTCGTCCAAAAGGGAATTAGCTAGTGTGACATCATTGGTCATTCAATTTTGAACAGCTACAGTGATTGGACAAAGAACCTTTCTTAAATTAGCGCCATCTAGTGTTTGAAAAAAAAACGGTAGCCCCCATAGTGGAAAATAGAATATAAATATTGCGTCGACTCTAAATAACTTACTAAAATATTTTGAAATTGTAACTCAACAACACGAAAAATAGACATAACATAGCATCACGGCGTTTAATTCCCGAAGGGACTTAATGCCAGTGCAGAATATATCACCCTCTTTTTACTATTTATGTTATAAATCCCATGTAATAGGGGGATAGCCTATTCCCATATACCGGGTACAATTCCAGACTCTGTGTTACTACTGAGATTTTTTTTAACAACCCAGTAATACGTAAATAATTTTTAATAATATGTAAGAACCCAGTGAAAAATAGCTTCACTGTAATTATCTCTACAAATACTACTATTTTCAACTACGACTATGACCCATATACAATAAGAGAAATCTTACCAGGTATTTCCTTAAGTGCCAGCCTGGCAAAAAGCAAATCAATCTCAATTCCATCGAAATTCATCTTGATGACGGGCACGAATGCGTCCTCTACAGCTCGCAGATCCTTCACCTAAACAAAATATAAATGATTTAGCATATCTGCAAAAAAACTTGTTCACTTGTGATTTGACGACTAAATCCAAAATACTGAAAAATCCAAAATTTTTGAACTTAAATATCGTGCCATCTATGTCATTTACAAAGAACTAATAGTCATAGAACTATATTTAACGGGACTTAAAATTGAGTGGTAGTGAGAGCATTTCGATTTAGTGCCATTTCATATGGTTACCAGTTAAGGCTCGTACACAAAACTGCGATGCGATACGAGTTCGCAATGCAAAAAATTACGATGCATGCATTGCTGCGATGCAATTTCGTGTGACAAGGGTGACCATTCCTTAGACAACCGTCAACCGTACTAAACGTATTTTAAATTGAAAACTAGGTCGTGACATGGATCGTAAAAAGAAGTATGCACTTCTGTTATTGCTTAGGAGATACAGGAAAAAGAAACAAAGAAGATTATGGGAAGATAAGACTTTGATGCGCGATGCGAATCAATTCGCAAGTTCTTGCGTGTGTACGAGCCCTTAATCAGTATCGGGTAGAGAACTGGTAAAAGGACAAAGTCCAAGATATGTATAATTGTATATTTGTTACACTTTGTCACAATAGTCAGTACCTACACTAGTATTAATGAAATTATACATCAAACGAAGATATCAATTTCCAAATACACAGTATGTTCGTCTATAAACATAAGACTCATCATCTACAAGTGTGGGAGAGCCATGCTTCGACACGAATGGGCCGGCTCGACCGGAGTGATACCACGGCCACACAGAAAACTGACGTGAAACAACGCTTGCGTGGTGTTTCGTCATGTGAATGACATACTGGAGACCAAATTACCCCCACCCCCCCTTTCCCAATCTCCCCAACGCCTGAATCTCCAACAATCCTCAACTTTTTATTCTCCAAAAGGCCGGTAACGTATAACACAACATAACTTGTAACACCTCTAGTGTTCCGGGTGTCCATGGGCGGTGCCAATTGCTTACCATCAGGTGAAACGTATGGTCGTTTACCGGCTCACCCCATAAAAAAAACACCTAAACTCATAACAATATTTTGTGGATCACAGAGAATGTTGTTCCGCTCCGACCTCGTGACACAGGTAGTAGCTGATTGGTCTACCTGCGCCAACCTAGCCTTAATGCATCAATTTGCATTCTGAACGTTTTACTAACCTGAGGTTGCGCCTTCAATAACTCGTAGAACGACGCAAAATAGTCAATCCTGTCTATGTGACGCGGGGCAACGCACAGCGCGTCAATATCGGCACCTCTATGGTGCACCTGTCAAAAAAAAAACATCCACAAGTCAATATACTGTGAAGAAATAATGTTACTGTAAAATAAACCTTGTTAATACGCAATAGAGGTAAAATTGGCATTTAGCAGCACTAATACTGACTACAATGCTTTACAAATTCTATGCCTTGCGAGAATTTTTCGTATTCATGTCTTACATGTAAAATATAAATAGAAAATAAATAAATACTCTAAACCAACTTACTCCAAGCCTATAAGATCCAAATGTATAAATATTTCCTCCAACGGTATCAGCTACGGTAGGAGGCATATTCTTCCGCATAGATTCCTCTCTGATCCATTGTCTCACAAGTCTGTGCAGGGCACCCAGCACTTCCATCCTATGATGCATCTCTTGCTCAGATTCAAAGACTCCATATGGAATCAGGGATTGTTTTAGTTCTGTGGTTTTTTCTATATCAATGGGCTTCGGACCTGCAATCATAATGTAAGTAATATAAACATAAGATCGCTACACTTCAGAAACTAACACTGCAGTGAGGGTTATGTGATTAAAGTTAATTATTTATATGAGGAAATTTTCTAATCACTGTAAGTGGAAACCATATTGTTTATAAATATTAACAGCTATAGAGGTCATAGTTTAGTATTACTAATCTAGGTTTTCACAATTACGCAAATCATTCGAGATTAACTGACACACTAAGCTAGACTAATAACAAACAATTCTCAGAATTAAGATGTGGTTTCGCACAACAGACAGTTTTTATTTATATCAAGGTCATTACTGAGATAAAGTTATATAGGCAAAATTAAACCGACCCTGACCTTGGTAAACTTTTATAAATATACTTTAAATCAATGTTTTATTTAAGTAGGATAAATGTAGGTAACTTACCTGCCATGGAAATGGCTGAGGTCATGCCCAAGGTCTTCAAATTTTGTTGGTTCTGATGTTCATTCGGTTTTCCTGCATTGTTGGGGATGGGCGCATTGCTATGGGAATACTGCGACGCCGGCCACATCTTGGACATAATAAAATTATCCAACTCCTCTACAAATAGAACTGCTTATGATAGCTACAAGCTTATATTACTAGGTGGGGCTCATTTATAAAAAAAAGCTCTCCTCTCGGACAACTGTGGGTCTCTCGGTTAAATAAAATCTGAAACAAATATTAATGTCTTTTTTAATAATTATGTTCATTACTAATACCAACATAACGTTTATCTCGACTAGTGCAAGTCTTGGCTATTATGGAATTATCCACCTGTGCTCTTTTCCCAGTTTAACTAAAATTGTCAAGAATTTGTAGTGTAAAAACATAGGTATCCTATTTTTAATTTTCGTAATGTAATTACTTAATTAGTAATAATATCTATATTTTTGTAATTTGCTTAGTTTAATACTTAATGAAACAAAATCATTAATTATTATGTATAATGACTGTGTGGGTGTCATAGTTTGCTTATTAAAACTAAATATAAATTACACTCTATTTTACTAGTGACAAAGTTACAAAATGCACAGCTAAATCTATTAATTCTAAGGAAACCAACACTTAGTAAGTTTTTCGGGGAATTTCCACTAAAACTCACAAATTGTGATTTAAAAATGTTAAAAAGTTCAATGGTGTTAGCAAATAAGAAGAGTAGCCTGTCTTATTAATGTTTACGTTCAGCACAGCAATCGACAGTAAAGATACAAAATATTTTCACTAGAATAACTTCTTTTCAGAGAAACATTATTATAGATCATTTAAAATCACTAAGCACAAAAAAGGCCCTTTTGTTCTGAAAATACTTCATTGTAACATTAAAATTGTGTGCAAACCTTGTTCCAATTCTCTGAATATTTTACAAGTCAACCTTCACATAATAAGAGGCAAATATTGCTCCTTTGTCTGGTATATTGCTCAAAAGAAATGTCTCCGAATAATTTATAATATTAAACCTAGAGATAGTTGCAAACCATATTTTATACGAGAGAAAATACTAACTTTGCCGTCCATCTACATACTAGAGCTAGCCAGTTTTGTTAAGAAATATATCAAAATATTTAATTTCAATAAAAACGAACGCCGAAATACCAAATTGATCCTACCAGCACCTCGACTACAGATGTATAAAAATAGCCCAGAATACCGAAGTATCCAAATTTATAATAAGTTACCTGAGGAAATACGGTCAACCAAAACTCTTTGTATATTCCAAGCTAGATTAAAGTCTCTACTAATTAAAAAATCATACTATAGTATTCAGGAGTATCTCGAAGATAAAAAATGCATTTACAACAAAATAGTACCTACATTGTAATTTTATAATTTACCAGATGATGTTTATTCACAATGATTTTAATATGTATTCATTCTAAATTATAGAGCCTATGTATTTTATAACCTAAGTATGTATTTTATAGAGCTTTTATAAAACTCAGGTGAATGTGGTAACAGAGATGTGTATTCGTTAGATTATATTTCCCCAGTTAAGTTAATTTTATTTTTAATATGTAATTATAGTTCCTAACTTAATGTGATAATTTCAATTCTCCTCAATTTCAGTAATGTTGCTACTTTAAATTATTTGTAATGTTTATAATTAAAATGTCTTATAAATAATGTATAAAATAATATAATTGTCATATAGGTATAGAGGTATAAGTGATAAAAATTTTTAATAGTAATAAGTTTATAGTGAGTAATTAAGTTAATAATGATTAGAATAAGTACATAATATATTATATGATTATTTAGTTATTATTATAAGTTAAATTGCTGCGCCCTAACAGGGTGATGTACTGTACTAGTAGTATAATACCACTATGTATATACATTTTGCAATAAATAAATAAATAAATAAATAAATAAATAAATATTATGTATACGTTAGGGATATATTAAAAAAGGTTCAAATTAAAAGTACCCTTAACCGACAAGCATGCATGTAAAAATTGATAAGTGTTGATGAAGCGAAAGAGGTATGCAGGAATTGTGGCAAGTGGCATTCCTTAGTCTCTGCCTACCCCCATGAGAGACAGGCGTGACGTTATACGTTATGTGTACTACATGTTGAATGATCCAACTTTTGCATTTTTTATACTCTAATTTTTTACCCATTGATTTTACAAGTAAATTGATTCAACCTGATAAGAGTATAAGGAGAAAAAAATAAGAGTAGAATTGTGGTGACTCAACCGTTAACGTAATGGCTGGATCAAAAAATGGACAAATGACTGATGTAGTATAAGAATTGAACATTGAATGATAACTCAAGTAATTTAACTCGTCAAGTACCGTCATTGTAGACACAGTTATAGAACAATACCGGTGACCGCTTGGTGTTTGACAGTTTAACTCGTCGAGTACCGGTTTTGCAGACACAATTATAGAACAATAGGTTGCGGTCACCGGTGACCGCTTGGTATTTGACAGTTTAATAGAGGGTGGATGAAAAAAAAGTACATAAAAAAATATTGGTAAGTAGGTGCTTCACATAATAATTTCATCCTGACCCTTTCATGACAGGGGACTAAAATTAATTGTACCAGCCCATCCTAGGCAAGTTTTTGTAAGGGCAGTAAAAATGAATCACCCCAGGTAAGTTTAAGCATGAGAAGGAATAATTAACATGAAAAAATATTTTAAAAGGCAACACCTACTTACCACCCACTACTACTACCCACACAAATTTGTACATGATAATTTACTGATCACATTATTACCAATACAGGTGTACAAGTCATACCACATCTTTAAGTGTGCATGTGGTGGGGGGGGGGGCATCAGCTGTTGCGTCCTGTTAATTCGGTTCGAATATCAACCTTATAGTGAACTCAAGCAGTTTCTTTTCATATTCCTCGCCACATATCTCATAACAAGTAACTACAATGTTCATAAATTTTTAGTGTTACTTTGCAACAACTATGCAATAGGAAAATGCCCTAGGGATGTGTCGTGATAATATTGATCTTCTTATAGGAATGGGAACCTTGAATAAAAAGGCATTTTTTTATAAAAAGTTAGGTAAGTTTATTTACTGCATTTAAATAAGTGGGAGTTTTCCCTGCAGTGGGACAATCATAGCCATGATTGTTATTTACTTTCGGCTGAAAGTACCAGGTAATAAATAAAATAAGAAGTCATTGGTATTGTTTGAGTGTGCGTGAGTGAGTGAAAAGCAAAATAGTATGTGAATAGTGTTTTATTTATTTAATAAATTATCTTCATGCGTGTATCATATTTTATACAAAGGTTTGCATGTTATGAACATAAACATATATATTTTTCACGATCTTGCATCAGCCATAAAATTCAGAACGGTAGAAATTTTTATTTCTCATAATACCTAAGTAATTATAGTTACAGATAGAAGCAAAACAGTCTTGTATAAATATACTTAAATAACTGAACTCTTTAAAAAACAAACTTCATGTTTGTCTCACTGTAATGAAGGAATCATGACTGTTACTTTTTTTTTCAATACTTGTAACATTTACTAGAAATTTTCATACATTTTATCAAGTATATTGACACTCTTCTGATAAGAACAAATTGTTAACATCAAGATACATACTGTTATCAACAACACCATCGGAAACTAACTGTAAATATTGTTGATTCGTCTAATTTATCAACATAAATAAAAAAGAGCCCCGATCTCCCGGAACTAAGATGTTTCATTCACTTTGCAAATGTAAATATTTTGTCGATAAATAAATAATGATGCATTTCGCTCAAAATCTTACTACGAAGCTGTGTGCAACGTTGTGAATCGGATTCGAAGAAGCCGCTATGATGCGTAAGCAAAAATCGAACTTTAGAAAGCACTATACTATTTGTGGATACAAAACAGGGTTCGTTCACCTACTTTTTATTATCTGCTCAGTTTACCGACATAGCACACACGCTACTTATTCCAAAACATTTTATACTTGGAACGCATGAATAACCGTTAATAAAATAAGAAAACATTAAGAACATTACTTGCTGACAACAGATCCATGGAAGTATTCTTTTGTTGTCTGCATGTACTAAGGTCACAACCTATGTAAATATGACCCTCACTTGCATCCGAACCTTGAATTATAATACATATTCGCAAACAAACCATTTCGATACATTATCTCAACACTTATCATGAATAACATAAAGAAAACGAATACGCATTAGAAAAGCTCACGTTGTTCCAAGCAGATTGTTATTACGTTAACGAACACTTTAAACGGTCTCAATATTAATTGAATATTACTCACTCACCAATAAATTATGTTATCCGCCCTAAGCTGCAATATTTTACAAATGCAGTTAATTGAAATCATAATAAACGAAAGAAACAAACATTAATTTCTAAACAAGCACCCAACAGTCGCCAACAACAAGGCAGCCATATTTATGAACATGGCGGCAAAGTTACTTGCCAGCATAAAATAAATGCCTACAGAGTTGGCCCATCCAAAAATATTTTTACATCATCTTTCAAGATTGCGTATTTTTTTCGGTTTAGTTAAAAAACACTGGAATAATATAAAGGGGCTGTTAAAACTAATCAGATTTTTCATTTATAAAATTAGAAAATAGTTCCGATAAATAAGTTTAACGCGTTAACGAAACGTCTACGGGTGCGTTCAAAGTTTCAAATACTCGCTACTTTTGCGCATGCTCCATTGGCAGTTTTTTCAGTGACGTATCACAAAACTCCGTTGAACTCGTTCACATATCACTATCTCTTTTCATGTGCTGCCAAAAGAAAGGGATTGATAGAGAGCCGGTTGATGTTTTCGTGTCAGCCTTGTGCCCATTTACGAGGAGTAGGTAAAATCCGCCATCTTGAGAGTGAATTCAAGAATGTGAGGACTTTTAGCGGAGTTAAGTGAATTTCTTTAGTAATTTTATTATTAAATGGATTTATATTTGTCCACCACGCGATTTCGTAACCTGTATTCGAGCCGGTGGCGTTAACGGAAACAGTTTGCGCGTCGTTATAAAGCTTAAACGCCGAATTCCTTGATAGTGTTTATGTGACAGGAGAAGACACCGTAAGCTTTCTAATAGTTTTTTGCGTGTCTATTTCCGTTTTCCATTTCGACGATCGTTAACATATACGTGAAAGTGAAATAGGTATCGCGTATCGTTCCACAGTTTTCGTTATAGGGCTTCGCGATGTTTTTTTCTGGTCGAAAATGCGGTTAGATGGGCGTTGTTGGTCGGCAATCGGTGGAGCTAAGTCGGGGCCTGTGTCGGCGTCCTGGTGAAGGCCTGGGCCGGTCTGGCGGGCTGAGCGCGCGGCCGCCGCAGAGGATGCGAACGGCGAGGGTGGGCTAGCAAGGTGTTAAGTGTTTGAACTAAGTGTTATTGTGAAAATGTCGACGACTATGAGGCCTACTCTCCAAACTGTTCCGGAGTCGTTGCCGGCGGACCACGTGACGGCGCCAGCGCCGGCCCCCGCGGCCACCACGACCACTGCTGCTCCCTCGCAGCCGAGGCATCCCAGGCCTATGTTCAAGGTAAGTGTCCAATTCTGTTTTGGTTCCTCAATCATTGTACTCAACTACTGCTGATAAACAAATCTGATAACAAACATTAAATGCCTTACATAACTAGTTTTATCATACTGGAAACTTGTTTGCACAGATTGTTTGGATAGCAAACTAATAACTGGACCTTTTGTTTTTTTTTTAATTATACACACAAGCATTGCAACATTCTTATCAGAGGTTCAATATTTGAAACAGAGATAACATTGGATTAATTTATGGTAGGTACACAGGTAATCTATAGATTGTGTTTGAGTATAATACACATACATGAATTAGTAATGTGTGTAAACTGGCAATGGTCACCCAGTTAGCCTAGAAAGTGTGGTCAGCGTAGCATGGCATCTTAACTATAAAATACTACCTACATGAAAATCTTATTAGCCTTTTTTCAATGTTCTGTTAGCATAAAAATAACTATTGACAACCTGTTTAATGGTACTATAGTTTTAATTTATAATTGTAATAAATTATTGTAGAAAGGAGAATGTTATGACCATTGCATAATTTTAATGGATGACAACATCATGCAGGTTCATATTTACAATATTATTTATTCATTATGAAAGCTATTAGAAACTGGAACCATTAATAATATCTATCTAATTCTAAATGTACTTTATAGACATTAAATGAATATGTTTTATAAAAATCATAGGATAACACCGATTTATACCTACCATAAACAAACTTGCTGCCAGTAAAACCTCATTGCATAATAAAACTGGCCAGCAATAACCACTTGATACATTTAAATGAAGAAAAAAAAGTAAGCAGTAAGTAAAATACTCCTTGTACAAAAGCAGCTACAATATTGTGAAGGATTACTCATTGATGCAACTTATCTCTGCATTGTGATGTTATAAAAACCAGGGCTTTTGTTTGATTTTAAATGCTTTAGACAATACATTGAGTCACTGTAGCACTTGTAAATAATTTACTGAATACGATAAAGTTAGATTCTACATGTCCAAGTAGATATTTAATCCGAGTTTAAAATTTTGTTTATCCAACTTAAATTAGGTAGTCAATTGATGATGCTTTGAAAAACAACCTTACATATATTCATATTAAAGTACAAACTCATCAATTACACATTAAACATATTCATAGGTAGGTCAAAAGTTTGCAAACCACACACAAGTGTTGGAAAAAGTAATAATCATCATAATAAAAATATATTTAAACTAGACCATTGTCCCATGTTAGCTATGACTCATATTTAATAAGCAAACATTACTGTTAATTTTGAATACACAGCTAAAACATACTCTTTAACTCTTTTTATTGACTATGAACACTGGTTGAGAAATATTTATCTAGAATTAAGAGCTGTTCGTTTTAGTATTAGGCTCAAAAAAAATTTGAATAGTAAATAAATACAGTTCTTAGGTAACTTTATTTGCAGCTTGACTGAAGTTGCAATTGTTTTGTTAAGTTTATAAATATGAACGGAATTTGCTTGATGTTTGGCAATAGAACTCTCTATTTATTATATTGGATATAAGATATAATGTAACTGATTAAAAATGTTGTGTTTTGTAAAAATAAAATAGTCCAGTAGGACATTTTGTATTTAATGTGTAATATTAAATTAAATAACAGCTGTTAAAGACATCTGTTTGGTATAAATTCGCGATAATAATGTAGAATTCCTCCACTTCTGTGCTAACAAATTATATATCTTATTTTATCTATGTAATAAGATATAACTTTGCATTTACTAGAATGCAGTAGCCATGGTTTTTCATAGACCTTGCATTCACTGCATTACTGTTTATTTATTCTAATTTTTCATTCATTATGATTTAAAAAATTGATGCAATTTGCATATTGAGAACTTGTTTGAAGGCAAAGGCATGTTGAAAGAGATTCCAGTTAGATATATGTAGGTATGTAACAGAAGAGAATGAACAAATTCCTAAGTTTTTTAAATACAATACTCACATGTAGCTATCTAGTTTATTCTCAGTAATATTTTTTTTAACAATAAAAATACCTACTTAATCAAAAAACCAACAAGTTTCTCCAGGATTACATTAAGGCCCTTTAACATAGTGTAGGAAAATATTGACATAGGTACAATAACACCAGCCATATTTTCATTACGCCCCCACTGTTTATGACGTCATAATACAGTAATGTACGCGAAAACAAATACCTACTTATAGCTAATTATATTTCAGCAGTAGTTAATAAACTAATAATGATTGGGGAACCATTTATTATGCTCTGTGTACAAGCTTTTCGGGCTCTTTTCGTTTTAAATGTGATTTTGTATTATATGTACGCCATGTTGTTGAAAAATGTCTTTAAAAGCTTAAAATTATTGTCTTTGGTATTATCAATGACGTGTTACTTCATAACAGGATAATTCCGCCAGTGTGGTGCTTAATTTTAACATGTTTGTTTTGTCCGTTTTATTATTGTTATTGTATTGTAAATCGTATACTTTAAAAACGTAAAATTATACAATTATTTATTAAACGGTGGTTAAAATTGGATACATGTGTAAAAACTGGATAGATAATACGACAATAATAATTTATTTACCTATAATATACATATTATGAGCTAGAGAAAACATTTTAATATAGATTGTAAGGCAATCCTATACAGAACATTTTCTCAGAACATTTATTTACGAGGATTCACGTGGTAAACTTAATAGAACCACTTGATGAACGTCGTTAAATTATTTACCAACACGTTTCATATTTAGGTACATTCTGTCGCCTCGAAAAAGTTCCAATACATCTTGTTATTAGGTAGGGGTGTGCTGAAACTGTTTACGCGACACAGCCCGTCGTCTCATGCATAAAGCATCAGCCATAGGGTGTAGGGTTGGCCTTCCAACTGCCCCAGTTTTGACCCTATATACCTACCAATTACATATGTGTTATGTATCCACGTAAAATTACGCATCATTGAATAATTTCACAGTTCAGTAAACAGTTTGTTTACCGTTCGCAGATTTTAGCTTTATAAAAGCGTGCGTGATTTAATTTGTTAATATTTGGATAAAATTTTCGACTGTTATCCTCTCTTGTCTGATTCAATTTTGTTAATCTACCGACACTGTCGATATCAAAGGGTGTGTTAAGAGTGAAGATTAACCTGTACATTGGTTTTACTTTGAAACGGCTTATAACATCATCATAACATCACGCCTTTTATCCTCGAAGGGGTAGGCAGAGGTGCACATTATACCACTGTACAATGTAACACCCACTTTTCACTATTTATGTTATGAGTCCCATGTAATAGGGGGTGAGCCTATTGCCATATACCGGGCACAGTTCCAGTCTCCGTGCTACTACTGAGATTTTTTTTAAAACCCAGTAGTACTTTGTCCGACCCGGGAATCGAACCCCAGACCCCTTAGCCGGCAGTCGCAATTGCGACCACTCGGCCAACGAGGCAGTATTATAACAGCAAGGCTTATAACATGTTTTTTATTTTCCATATACTAATAAAGGTAGTTAACGAAAAAGTTGTTAAATGCCGCAAGTTTGTCGATTTGCATGAACCGGTATTTATCGTGATATCCAGTATTTATACTCCAATAAATAAATTAAAGATAGATAGCAACAGACGTTACTTTAATTCATAATAAGTAATGATTATGATTATGTAACAATATGAAGTATCAAAACAAGATTTTATTAGTCATCTCTGAATCACTGGTTTGTAAAAAATAAACACGATTAACTAAAGAAACATTCGTATCCTTTCATGAATTTATGTAACACTGTTGCAACGTTATGCGTAACTTGTTGCATCATGGCTGACGTTGCATGTTGCAACAATAGGGCAATGCTCGTTCTGCAATTTACAACGCAGTTTTAGTTACAATTGTATTTGTTTCTGCATTTCCAAAA